GGAGCTATAATTTACCCAATGCTATGATTGTTAATTAAAAATTTCTCACTTTAATTATTGCATTTATAGTATGAGAGGCAATGTAGATCCTATCTGTATTTTGATTAGAAAATAACTGCAGTGTTTCAGATACCAGTCCATAATTAAGAAGTCCAAAGTCTGTAAAATTGTGTGTTTCTCATTTTAAGCCTGTGAGTGATCTCATTGAAGGAAATCATGGCCACAGTTAACTTGACAGCACTTTGTTTTTGGGTTTACTCAAGACATAGGATTTTGTATTTTCCTGAAATAGATGCCTCTTGAAATAGATGCATCTTGAAAATAAGAATTTGAAGCAAACTTCTGGTCTATGTGATTATTGTCTTTAAAAGGAAGATTTGGAACCTGCATGTTTACCTCAGGGTAGAATTTTACAAGTATATTTTTCTCTTGACAGCTGGAGGATGGACACACTTTATTTGACTACAATGTTGGACTAAATGACATAGTTCAGCTTTTGATACGTTCTGAATCTGAGGCACCTACCACAGCTTCTGGTACAGATCAAGATGGAGAAGTCAACCCCTGTGCTGTTTCCAACTGTAAGAACAAAGTCAAAAAAACAACAGGTAGTGGATCACCCAGTCAGCCATCTACATCATCTCGCTCATTTCTAATTGATCCTGGCATTGGATTATACAAGGTAAGTGCATGCTATGAATGCTGGGACCTTATCTCACACCTGCGGGTTTAGTTTTGTTGTCTATAAAAGTCTGTATCCTTATTACTTGCTTTCGTGAATGACTTTAAATTCGACTTAGCTGGAACCATATTGGAACTTAAGGTAGGTATCTCCACAGTTGTCTGAATCTTCACTGATAGATGCATTCAACAAATTAGACAAATGTTAATTGAGGTAATTATATTTTTTCAAATAAATTCCTCAATTAATTTAAATGATTACAGTCTGCCTAAATAACAAAGTGTTGCATTTTCAAACTGCACAGAGTAAATGTGCTAGGACAGAATTCAGGAGTGGTTGATAATGTGACAGACCCAGCTCTATCAAAAAAAAACTAAGCATCTGTTTATAGTTAGATATCATCAATGTTCAGTCATCTCTGTTGGATAATCTGATTTTGCAGAAGTAGTCTAGAAACAGTATTGAAGTCAAGCTTTTCGCTGAACTCCCTTCAAGCTGACTCTTGCAAACTCATTGAAGTGACTCTATACTAGTCTCACTAGTGTTGCAGGTTTCAAGAGGGCTCATAATCTCCAACTTAATGCTGGCAGTATTCTCCAATATTCTCCAGTATTCTGTTTTCATTAAGTTTTGAAATACATTGGAAACATAAATAACTTTCGGTAAACAGAGGAAACCAGTGCAAAAATCTATGGAAAAATTCTAGTTTTACCCTATTTATTTATTTTCAAGCCTGCCAGTGTTGTCCACTAGAATAAACTGGGGAAGCAGTCATAAGAGTTGCTATTTGCATCAAGTACGGTAAATGCCTTACAATGGCATGAAGAGAGAATTCAGGGAGGACTCCTTAACTGATCTCACATGAATAGTTAGTTATATATTTGAGCACTCTTGACTGGAATTAATAGTTGCAGTTGTGCTTCTTTATGGATCTAAACAGTCCAGGGAAAATGAAAATACATTTTCTACTGTTTACGTATTTACTGTTTATTAGAACAAGATAAATTATGGAAATACACACTGCCTTTTAATTATATGTGATGCAGTAATTGATATTTTATTATAGTTTTTTTAGGAATCACGTGTATTGTATTTATTGTTATTTTTGTACCTTATTGGATTTTACCATATTATCAGGTAGGACTGCACCAGAGTACCATAAATTTAATTTAATCATAAAATGGGCAGTTTCCAGGTTGCTAAATAGCTGTCTCTTTGGCAGGATTTCTGTAAGTAGGGAACAGTAGCACTTCATCTGCTTTTCAGGTGTTTCTCAGGTAAGAAATATCTGTGATAGTGACTATTTTGCTAGAAAGTGTCCAGAATTAAAGAAAAAGAAAAGGACCCTGTGACTGCTATACCTGTACAATTTTATGTGAGTTAGAAGAAAATTCTTGTTTAGATCTCTTATCCTGACGTGAAGTTGTCTTAGTTTCCTGTAAATTCTTACTCAGTGTTTCAGATATTAAGGGCAAGTAATAAGTTACTCATTCTCTGTTCCAGCAGCATTTTGTGCAAGGAGTTTTATGGTTCCGTCTTTAAGAAAGCAGGGAGTCAGAAAATCAGCAAATTAAGTACAATGACACAAGCTTGCAGGCATCCTCTTCTCCCCTCTCCCACCATTTCTTACAGTGGGAATAAACCCATTTCTTCAGCATTTATGCTTTAGAATTTACACTCCTTATTGATTAATTGCAATATGAGAAAGAATGAGGGAGAAAATCGTGGAGATGGAAGGCCACAAGAGAAAGTGGATTGATCAAAGGAAAGGAATATCTTAGCTTTAAAACAGAAAACAAAACAAGGGATGGTGAGATTGGATAAGGTATTCAAGAAAACTCTTTCTTTTGAGTCAGCTGGAAATTTTGCCCTCTCTAATACTGGGAACCTAACACTTCCTCCTTCCTTTGCCACGACTTGCTTTCTTTTTCTTTGTTGGAAATGACAGATTGGTGATAATTAAATTATTGCCAGGTGGTTAAAATAGAGACCTAAACAGAGTTCCTCTAAAGGAACCAGAGTTCCTATGGTTTCTGTATGTTAAGTAAATCGGAATGCTTTAGCTGGTAGCAATGTTTCAGTTGCACCTGCTAACTGCCAGCATAGGTCTCGAAGGACTGGTAGTGGGTGGAACCATATTCAACTCCTGTTCCTTTTCGTTGAGAATGAGAATCGTTAATGGTGTCTGGTTTAAGAGCTGGGTTATTATTAGCTACTTGTGAGCAGTATTAAACAATAACTAGTTTTAATTACAGATTCAGTTTTGACTACAGCCTGAGATTTTTTTCTAGAAAGTTTTGCATGCACACTTCAAATTGAGCTTTGGCTTTTCTAACCCTGTTCCTGCGTGCTCAGGCAATGCTACTCTAACTCCTTTAACATCAGTCATGGATGCCCTACTTAGCCAAGCTAGTGTCCTGATATGTCTGCTCGTTTTCCTGAGAGTGGGCATGGACCCTCCTAGTGCTTGGAGGAGGCTATCCTTAAGAAGCTGTTAGCTCTCCTGGGCTCCTTTGCCATTTAGATCTGCCTCCCACAGGATTCCACCAACCAGTTCCTTGAATAAGCCAAGGTCTGCTCTCCTGAAGTCCCTGTATTCTCTTATTTGCCTTTATCAGTCCCTCTCAGGTTCCTAAACTTAATACAGCCAGATTTATCACTGATGATCATATTCCCAACTAGTTCTTGTTTGGGAAGGATTGGTAGCTAGTTCAGCAAAACGCCACCCTTGACTGGCCCCTCTAGCATCTGGATTAAGAAGATGCCCTGACACTCTCCAGAATCCTTCTGGATTGTTCACATACCACTATGAGGTAAAGTCTGCAAAGATCAAGAAAAAGAGCTTTTATTGTTACAAACAGTCAAAGTACAAACAAAGAAAGTGTGGATTCATTGCTGAGTGGGGCAGGTCATTTAGTGACAACAGATGCAGATAAGACTGAGGTGCTCAATGCCTGCTTCCTATTGGTCTGCACCAACGAAGTCTTGTGCCTAGGGAAAGGGTTTGAGGAGGAAAGCTACTACCAGTAGTGGGGAGGACTGAGGCAAATCTCTTGAGGTATCTTGAACAATACCTTCCAATATGCCTGGCCGGGATGTATTCAAGGGTGTGTGGAGAGCTGGCTGATGTTGTTAGGGTTGTTGAAGGCTACACTTCAATATCTTTGAAAGGTCGTGAAGATTGGGTAAAGGTCTCTGATGACTGGAGAAGGCAGCTATTGGAGCTACCTTCAAAAAAAGGCAAGGGAGACCACCCAGGGAGCTATACGCTGCTCAGTTTCACTTTGGGAAGCTCTTTCTGGGTACATGAAGAAGAAATTGGTAATTTGGAATAGCCAGCATGGATTTTTTTAAGGCTAAGTCATGCCTGACTGGTTTGACTGCCTTTATGATGAAATAACTAGATCTATGGATGAGGGAAGAATACTGAATATTGTCTACCTTGACTTCAGCAAAGCTTTCAGTATGGTTTTCTACAGTATCCATATTTTAAGTGAGCCATTATTGTCAGGATGCGTAGAGCGCTGAAGGGATGAAAAACTGACCGGATCATGGGCCTCAGTGTAATGGTTAATGTTTCACGTTCTACCTGGAGGCTGGTAACAAGTGGAGTTCCTCAGGTATATGTCCTGGGACTGGTCCTGTGTAATATCTTTATCAGTGGCATGGGAGGGGAGGATGAAATCAGGAAGTTTGTGAACAAGAGCATAGTTGAGGGGAGTAGCTGGCATAAGGGCAGGTCTGCCATTCAGAAGGATCTAGATGTACTGGAGGAAGGGGTTGACAGGATCTTTTTGAAGTGCAAAGTTCTGCACTTAGGGTGGGCTAAGCCCCTCCAATGGCATGTGCTGGGGCATTGGCTCCCCAGCTGGGGAGTGGCTTTGCTGTAGGAGGACCTGGGATTGTGGACAGTTGGCTAGCACATGAGTCAGCAGTGCACCATAGCAGCACTGAAGGCTTACAGTGTGTCAGCACGAGCTGGGCTGTATCAACACGAGAATAGCCAGTAAATTGAGGGAAGTGATTATTCTTCTTTAATTGTAACTTGCTATGCAACATGCTGCGTCCAGTTTAGGATGCTTTACATTTTTTAGTACAAGAAAGGCGTTGATAAACTTAGCAAGTAAGGAGAGGGCCATCGAGACTGTTCAGGTGGAAGCGTGTGACTATCTCAGAGAGGCTGAGGCTTGTTTATCCTGGAAACCAGGGGTTTTGAGGGGACTTTCCTATACCTACAAAGAGGTTAGTTAGAAGCTTTTTACTGAAACAGAACAGGACAGAACAGGAGGATGAAACACAACTGTTGGGTGTTAAGAACAGGAGGATGAAACACAACTGTTGGGTGTTAAGAAGGGAAGATTCTGACTGGTTATAAAGGGAAAAAAAATCACTGTTAGGATAGTGAAGTGCAAGAACAGGTTGCTTAAAGAGGTTGTGAAATCTCCATCCGTGGAGATTTTCAAGACCCGGCAGTCAGAGAAAGCCCAGGACAAACTGACCTAAATTCAATGCTGATCTTGCTTTGAGCAGGATTTAGTACTGGAGACCACCTGAAGTCATGACAGCCTCAGTGATTCTGTAACTGACGGACATTAGGCTATACTTTTCCTTTTTTTGATGTTTCTTTTTTCCTGTTACTTGCACCATACCCTTTTCTCTTGTTAAGCACTCCACAGACTGGATTTTCTTACATCACATTGAGGAACTATATAGCTTTGTATGCTGCTTATTTTGCTTTTTTGGTTTTCTAATGTCTTGTAATTTCTTTAATTGCTTTGTTGCATGGCTCCTTGTGTTAGCCGTACAAGTCCACTTGTATTTGCTACCTTTCCTTCTGCCCCTCAGACCTTTTTTTAGTTTCAAGAGTCTCTTGGGAAGAAATAAGATGGAGTCTGGATATTTTCTTCTGCATGTGTACGTATGTGTATATTTATGACTCTGTACTTGCATATAATGTTTTTATTTAATTATTAAAGGTATGCTGGCTAATTTTATTTGATGAAAATTTTTTCTGTATTCCTAGCAATGAGCTTGCAGTATTGGTTTGATTGGCCCAAAAAATTGTCATTTGCTTATATCCCACTGAATATTCAGTTACTATGGAAATTTGATGATACGGAAGGGAAAGCAGGATCTGGCTTAGTCTTTCCTATTTTACTTTTTTCCATAAGATTTTGAAGTTTGAATATTTAGGATAACTGTATTAGTTGGTAGCGTTTCCTCCTCCTAGTGGTCTTAATTCATGGTAAGTGTTCTCTGTGACAGTAGGAATTCTTATTAATGTTACATTTCAACATAACAAAGATTCTAGATGAAGGATATGAATTTCATAGGTGCTGGCATTTGTAATTATCTCAAAGGATGCTATTCTACAAACAAATGTGAACTGCATTGATGACTGTCTTTAAATGGTAAATTAAGGTGGATGCTTAAAATTAAATTCTAGCACAGGTAACAGAATGCAAAAAGGATTTTATGTTGTCATACCATTGACGAAAGTTCCTCCTTTATCCTTAGAATTCTAATTTTGTTTGCATCTTTTCATGTCTTCTTCAGGTAGCTCTTGTTCCTCAATAAAATATTCCTTTGTACATGTTAGTTATAATCTCCTACTCCTCAAAAACGCCCCCAAGTAGTCATATCCTGTCTTATGGTCCACACAAAACACATTCACTAAAATAATTTTGCTTTTCATTTGAATCCCTCTGCTGGAGTCTAGATCAGTACAATTTACGGTGGAGTATTCTACATCGGTAGAATAAGCTCCGTCGGGAATAAGCAGGACTGCATGTAAAATTGTCTGATGTTCCTCAGTTATCCGTGCTCATAACTATTTGACCTTGCTCTATGCAAGGCTGGGAAGCCTATTGCATAAGTGCACGTGTCGTGTTATGGAAGGATGCACGGGAGACTTGCCCTAGCTTCTTTCTTGCTCTGCTTATGATAACTTGGGTGACATGGCTTCTCCAACACTTTCAGAGGTGGTCTTGAGAGAAATCTACTGTAGCAGATAGGAGAATCCTTTAAGCTACAACTAGTTCAAACACCTAAGGTTATGTAGGGAAGCTTTCTTGAGGGTTCCTTACAGAAGTGCAACAGTCCACTTTTTATGTTTAAAATAGATCTCTCTCTCTCTCTATATATATATAAAATGAGGTTGTCCTTTTATTTGAAGTATTCATCATAGTAAAAGCTGTACTTTTGAATGTTGTAGGATTTAATGAAAAAATAGATGTTGCCATTTTATATGGGAGAAAAAGAAATGGGTTGAGTTTTGGAGATTGTTTTAAGAAGGTAAATGAAAATAAGAGAAATGCAAAATGTGAAATATGCTTTATATATTGATTTCTTGTCTTGGGATAGATTTGTTAGCTCAGGAACTGCCTTCATTGGCACTTTTTGATTACCTAAAGACTTCATTATGCTAAATACTAACAGTTATTGGTAGTGTTTTTGACTTGCCCCTGTCCAGCTATAATCGGGTTATTTGATTTATAGAAGCTAGTCTTTGGATTTGGTAAGAAAAAGTGTCCATCTCTGCCACTATCTGGGTACTTGACAAAAGCTGTAACTTAAACCGTGTATGTACTGTATCAGTTTTTTTTAAAGACCTTTTCTGTGGTATAGCTTTGCAGTAGCTCTGTTGCAATGATACTTTTTTTACAGTTGGTATACAGTGGCTGAGGTGTTCCTTAAATTATTTTTTATAGGCAATGTTTTGAATCCAGTTAATATTTCAAAGAATATTTTTGGCTTTTTAACTGTAAAAATGCAGTGCTCTTATTATTATTAAAAAGATGTCTGCTTAGTTAGCTGATGACTTGAGAAAACACGTAAGGGCCTGAATGAATGCAATATGCTATGGAATAGTAAAGTAGTCTGATTGCTTAATACCAATATTACTGTGAGCACAGAAAGGAGAAATGTCATGAGATAGTTCTGTTTCTTATAGTCAGAAGATTTTGGCTGCCTGTGATGTCAGCCTTGTTAGACTTGGAGAGCGTGTTCGTTTCTTCCCTCTCTCTTCTCGAACCTTGAAGAATTCAAAAGCATTGCAGTCCAGAAAGATGGCAGGTTACTGTGCCTCCAAATTGGAGTTATTACTTAAAGTTGTAGAACCCCGTGTTTGTGGGATAGTATTTTAACGCTCTAGAAGTATAAGCATGTTTCAGTCATAAAGAACAGTTCTGTGAAGCCAGAGGAAAAGATGAATGAAAGACAGATTAAGCTAACTTTTAGGTAAAAAAGCTCAGCTAGCCACCCTTTTATATTCATACCAGTTTTTATTGAGAAGAGAGCAATAAAATACTGAAAGCCAAAATATCAATGACTAGATGTTACTCGAACTTGGACAAGCTCAACCAGTTACTGCAATTTAATGTTATACTGATACTGAAGTTAAGTAGTGGCATAATCAATTGTGGGCTTTCTTTTTTTTTTTCTTAATTGGGGTTATAGAAAACAAGCATGAATTCATTATTGAATTTTCCTTTTAGATAAATGAATTGGTGGATGCCCGAGATGTCAGCATTGGAGCCTGGTTTGAAGCTCATATAGAAAATGTTACCCGAGCAACAAAGGGACATAAGAATGGTAAAGCTCAAGGAAAGAGTGGTAATACTTACAAAAGGACTAATGGAAACTTAAGTCAAGATCATTCTAGAGAGAATGCAAATAATTTGGACAGTACACCATCCACATCTTACTCAGACTGTATGGACACTGATGAAGAAGCTATTTATCATATCAAGTATGATGAGTAAGTGCTCCTGATATTATTTTGAAGACATCACGTATTGTTATTTGGTTTTGTATAAACCAAGAATTTCTTGAAGAAACTTGGAGCCAAAGAAAGCAAGTTCAATATTGCAACCAAGAAAAAATATTAAAAAATGTAACACCTGTCAGTTGGATATAGTGAATATCTTGAGAGTAATGAAATTTTTCATTCCTAAGTTCCTGTCAATATTAATTTCAATGTCATGCCTTTATGAAATTTAATCAGTCCTCTTTTATGAGAAAAGGAAACTGTATAAATGAATTTTTCTGAAAGTGTTTTCCAAGTAAAATACGAGTTTAATTAGCAGTCTACTAGAGTAGCACTTCGTATTGGACGCTCAGTTTAATGAAGTTTCTTATCAACAGTTTTGTACCATTGCGTTCCCTTGAGAAATTGGTCTTTTTTGTTTTTACATATAACGTGTTGAAGCAGCGAAGTAAGCTTCTAAATGAACAGAATCAGTGAGAGTTTTTAACTTCTGTTACTGAGAGTAGCAAACATGTGCAATGTGAGATTGAAGAGTAGACAGACATCAGGTATGTTCAGTATTGGTCTTCATGAGGATAAACTCATAAAATTTAAATTTCCAAAATACATTTTTAGAGCATCTGCCTCAAATTTAGTTATTTCAATGAACAACTGCAAAGCTGATTTTTACCAGGAAAATTTTAAATGTTACGGACTAGAGCAGAGCACCTTTCTGGTGCTTTTAGTAGAAGTATAAAAAACTTGAGGGACATTTTAACTGTATATTGAGTTTAGATACAGTTTTATATCTCCAAGTTTGCCCGCTTATTGTTAGGTAAGCACAATGCTGAAAGTAAAACTGTAAATACGTAGTGAAATATTAAAAGTTGAAAGAAATGCCTGGAGATAACTTAATGATCCAGGATGACCAAAACGAAGGTGTTTTCTCTTATATCTTAAATGGTACAAGTGCATTGGGATGTGAATTTGCAGACATGGCTTTAAGACCACCTAACTTTACAACACTGCAGATGTATTTAAGTGAGTCATGGGCAAAAATTTGTGAGAAACAATGTTGCTAATTGTTTCAGTGAAATTATAGTCCTCACTTTGTGAACATTGTTGTTTCTTTGTGAGTCAAAGTAGTACTGTAGAAAGCGTTGCACGACAGATCTGACTATCTTACCTCTGTCTACGCTTAAAAAAAGAAAATTGTGCTATGTGTACTTTTAGGATCTAGCTGTTCACTTTCAGCAGTTGAAGACAATCATCTTTTTAGTTGTGCTGTAAGATGATCTTTAGTAGTTGTGTATTCTTAGCCAGCAAAATCGGATAAGGCATAGAAACACTGTGTTACAAGGTGGTCACTAAAGTCATGGTTATTTACTTGATGGGTCTAAGATATTGAAAGTCTGAACTTTTGGGAAGAAAAATTATTTAAAGCCTTTCTGGCAAGCAAGACCTTTACTTTCTTCAGTTACAGAATTTTATTCTAGTGGAGATTGACATGCACATTCATACAGTGGTTTTGTCTGTAGTCATAGTAGTTTGTTTTTATGTATTGGTGTTTACCTTTTTGATGTCTTGAGACCACAAGTGTACCCTATCACATATACGCTTGATACGGATAAGTAGGGAGAACATGGAGTGCTTTGCCACCCGGTTCCTCTCTGCTCCTAATCAACTAATTCTCATCTCATTTGTTTTGTCTTTGTTCTTATTCGTGTGAGGTTTGTATTTTATTGTACGATCATTCTTCTGCACGTAGTTACTTGTTCATGGGTGTTCTGCTCTTCAGCTTTGGATTGTGCTATGTGCTGCCAGACTTGACATTCTCTGATCTTTCTTTGCTGTGTTTTGTGCTGAAGAAGCTCTCCTTCCTTTTATCTGCTATAGAAAATGATTCTGCAGGGCTGGGGGCTTTCAGCTCTGCCTTCTCCACAGTAGGTATATTTTTACCAGAAATGAAATCGTTTGCAGTTTCAGAAGCAGAATAAAAACGACTCATGAATGGACAGCATAAGCCTGGTGCCTGTAATGCCATCAGAATTACCTCAATACACTGTGGAAAGACTATGTGTCTATCTCTGAGACAGGTCCTGAACTTACCAGCTCCTCAACAATGCTGAGTTTCTAGACTGTTTCTCCCTCTCTGCTTGTTTTATCTTCAGGTTGGGAGAAATCTCAGCACAAAGCAGGCTACAGTCGAGGGATAGGTCACGTGTGGCGCTTTGAAATGGTCTACTCCAAGCCCATGACTTTGATTCCAAGACTTGATGACAATGGCAAATACATTTTACTGTCCCAGGTGTTGTGGCAGATTTAGTCTCATAATGCAGAAAAGAAAAAGTTCAAACAACGTCCATTTTCTTTCTGTTGATGCCTGTAACCACTCACTCTAGAAGCAATGTTTAGGTAGGAGATACTGGAAAGTAGTTCAATCCTGTATCAGAAGCAAGTCTTCTGTCATCATCTTCATCATCTTCTGCCCAGTTCTGGCAGCAAAGTCCTCTAGTGCAGCCCTAGTTCCCCTGTTGTTTCCAAAACCCACAAACTCCACGTGTCAGCTTAGAGGAAGACGTGAAACCTTCTTTTCTTTCTTTTGTTAACTGTCCCATTAGTATTGGCACTATTTTCTTAGATTCAGAACTGAGTTACAGACAGTGTTGTCTGGCACCATCTTTCTCAGAATTCTGCAGCTGAGAACTTAAGTATTGATGATATCTAAAGCTGAAGCCTCGCTTCTCTCATTCTCTCTTGGACTGTATCTGGTCCTTAATTACTCTGTTATTAACTTATGCTGGAGCACGCTTCTCAATACGTTGGGAGTTTGAGGGTGGTGAGAAAATTTGAGAGAGAATGAAGCACTAATTAAGGATTTTTCAGCTAGAACGTCTGCAAAAATTGTGGAATGTTTACCTTCCCTCCCTCGGTTTCAGTAAGGCTTAATGCTGCTGTAGCTGTTGATTCCTAGTTAGTCCAGTAGTTGTGCATCCAGAAACCTGGGTCTGTGTTGGCTGCCTGTACAATTCATGCTTCACCCTTGAAAGCAGATAAAAGAGCATCAACAGATTTGAGATTCATTCTGGCTTTTACTTTCTAGCCAGAGATATTTGGCAGTCTCATCAAGGGGGACAGCCAACCAATCATTCACTCTTTCTCAGCAAGGTAACTTTTAAGTGACTGTGTTCTCCAAAGAACAACTTTTCTTAGAGGATGAAGCAGGACTTGGTCCTCCCTTAACTGAGAAGGCAGGTCTTAGCAGTGGCACTGCTAGATTTCAATATCACAAGTCCTGTGTAAAATTTTCATTGGTTCCTTTCCTCCCTCCGTTTCCTTAAGTAATATGGTACAGCAAATGTGAAAGGGGAAAAACAGCAAAGCTCTTCTGGTAAAGAATGTGGTGAAGAAAAGTTAGATTTTCTGGGTAGGAACTTGGCTGTAGTAATTTTCCAAAGGGCAACCACCACTCCCTTCTGACTGTGACCCTTGCAAATTATAATGAGGGCTGCATACCTCTTCTTACTTGGTAGGGATCAGAATGGCTAAATTTCTTTGGTCCAGAGGCTGTACGCCTAGCGTTTCATTATCGTACTGCAACAGCTATGAAGCCTACATACTTCTGTAGAGGGATGGTTCTGCTTATAGAAAATCTATTGCCGTTTGGAGGAACAGGACTCGTAAGTTCCAGATTAAACAGGGTTCTTCGTTGACTGAATGACTTAAAAGCCATGCTGTACTTGTTTAAGAGTGCTGTCTTCATCAGTGAGGTAGAGACCAGAGAATCAGTTTATCACTGCTGACATTCTATCAGCTTTTGGCAGCAACTATCTTGGCACCCAGTCATGGTGTAAGTGCTTGCACCTGATACTTCGTCTTGTGCTTCAGTTTCTGAAGGCAACCTTTTGCCTTGAGGCTGCCTGTTTATAGGTGTGTTCCCACTTCTGTTAGTGCCTCCTTCCTCCTTTTCTGCCACTTTATTCACTGTATTTCTATTTCATCTTTGCATATGTTAGTATCGCAGGGGGGCACTAGAGACTTCTTAAGGCAGGATTTACTATCACATTTCATACTCTGTTATCATCTAGTCTTTTCTTCTACCCTGAGCAACTGTCTTTTAATGCAAGAGAATACGAAAGGATGAAAATCTGACACGTGCTTAGATATTCAAGTTAACCGAGATGAGTGTAGATTCAATTTTTGTCACTGCTGGCTTGCTTAAGAATCAGTTCCAGATTGTGAGCAGGATGCTTCAATAGCTTAATGTGACACAGTAAAGACAAGTCTTACAGTACTGCGTCATATGAAAGCTTGACGTTACCGTACTCCATTTGCATTTGTTGTGCAGCGTTGGCTATAGCTTGTTTATTTTCAGGGAGACAATTCTCAGGCCTTCATCTGTTTAAGAAGGCTTTTACACTGACTGTCACCAGGAAGGCTAGAGGTGTTTGCCGCCTGATCGTTATGCATATCTATCCATGCGCAAATAATTCAGTCTGAATCAAGTGTGTGTAACTTTTTACTCAAGGCCATCACATTCTGATGATGGTATTTGTTGGGTATTAATCAACGCAGAAGTTGAAATTATACTTTAGGGTAATATCTGCATTACATGACATAAAGTACGCTATTTTGTGGTTAATTCTTCTAGGGTGCTAAATACCTTGGTAAAGGGGTTGTTTATATTGTGATTAACGGGAGTTGTGGAATGATGCTATCTGAGCTCTTACCTTGGAGTACTTCTAGCTCTGAATCTCTATTTGTCAATCCGTCCAGAGGCTGTAGTCTCTCTGTTTTGTTTAGGATGTGTGCTGGGGATTTTCATGATTCATTAGAATTTGAAGGGATGTCTTTTCTTTGATGTTGTAAAAAACCCTTCAGAAAAGCAATGTGAGGCAGGATGCAGAGACAGTGGTCTACATGTCCAGCCTGGTTAAGACAGTTGAGGTATCCAGATAGCTGTTACTGCTAGTGAGGATTCCTAAAAGCTCCAGAAAATTCATGGATTTGTG